AGCGGGATTGGGAATGGGGGATTGGGGGATTGGGAATGGGAATGAGGGATTGGGAATGGGGGATTGGGAATATGGGATTAGGAATGGGGGATTTGGATTGGGAATGGGGGATTGGGAATGGGGGATTGGGAATGTGGGAATGGGGATTGGGAATGGAGGAATGGGAATGGGGGAATGTGATCCCAAAGGAGAAACAGACCTGTGGTGAGCGGGATTGGGAATGTGGGATTGGGAATGTGGGATTGGATCCCAAAGAGAAACAGACCTGGGTGAAGGAATGCGGGGAAAACTGGGAATGGGATTGAGGGGGAACTGGGAATGGAGGATTTGGGATTGGGAGGGAACTGGGATGGAAGAAGGATTGGATCCCAAGGAAAAACAGAGCAGTGTGAGGGGATGGGGGCTGGGATTGGGGCTGGAGTCAGGATTGGGGAGATCCTTGGGATTTGGAGGGCTGGGATTGGGGGGATCCAGGGATTGGAGGGAATTGGGATTGGAGTGAGAACTGGGATTGGGGGGATCCAGGGACTGGGGAGGGTCTGGGACTGGGGGGAACTGGGATTGGGAGATCCTTGGGATTTGGAGGGCTGGGATTGGGGGATCCTGGCATTGGGGAGGGTCTGGGATTGGGGAATCCTTGGGATCGAGGGGAACCAGGGATTGGAGTTATCTGTGACTCCCTGCTGGGGAGTTGCGATCAGGGGAACCCTGGGATCAGTCGAGACCCTCGGAATCCCACAACCTCCTGGAATTCGGGGAATTCCAACTCCCTAAACCCCCCGATCTCCCCGCGGGCAGACATCCGCCTGCGCGTGCGCGCCGAGTACTGCCAGCACGACTCCGCCCTGCACGGCAACGTCTTCTCCAACAAGCAGGACCCGCTGGAGCGCCAATTCGAGCGCTTCAACCAGGCCAACACCATCCTGAAATCCCGGGATTTGGGCTCCATCATCTGCGACATCAAATTCTCGGAGCTCACCTACCTCGACGCCTTCTGGCGGGATTACATCAACGGCTCCCTCCTGGAGGCCCTCAAGGGCGTCTTCATCACGGACTCGCTCAAACAGGCCGTGGGCCACGAGGCCATCAAGCTGCTGGTCAACGTGGACGAGGAGGATTACGAGCTGGGCCGCCAGAAACTCCTCAGGAACTTGATGCTCCACACGGCTCCCTGAGGGATCCAGCTCCGGTTGTTTTGTTTTTTTGTTGTTGGTTTTTTTTTTCCTCGGGTTTTTCCCGGGTTTTTTTTTTTGTTGTTGTTGTTGGTTTTTGGTTTTTTTTCTGATTTTATTTTTTTTTCCGCGGAGGTGCCCGAGCGGAGCCCGCTGATGGATTTGGGGAGGGTTGGAAATGTGGGATATTCCGGGATTTGGAGCTTTTTGGGGTTCCTGATGGGTTCTCCTTGTGTTTTCCATGGGTTTTTCCTTCCGTTTTTGATTTTGTATCCATTAAAAATGGTGATAAAAAGGCAAAAAATCCCATTGGTGCAGCCCAGTCCGAGTTGGGGATTGGGGGTGTGGAATATTCCAGAATTCCTCACTTTTCCATCAATTCCTCTTCGTGTTTTCCACGGATTTTCTCTTTCTTTTCTATCCATTAAAAACGGTGATAAAAAGGTAAAAAATCCCATTGGTGCAGCCCAGACCGAATTTGGGATCGGGGGTGTGGAATATTCCAGAATTCCTCACTTTTCCATCAATTCCTCCTCAAGTTTTCCATGAATTTTCTCTCTTTTCTTTTGTATCCATTAAAAATGGTGATAAAAATGCAAAAATCCCATTGGTGCAGCCCAGTCCGAATTGGGGATTGGGGGTGTGGAATATTCCAGAATTCCTCACTTTTCTGTCAATTCCTCCTCGTGTTTTCCATGGATTTTCCCTCCCATTTTTGATTTTGTATCCATTAAAAACGGCGATGAAAAGGCAAAAATCCCATTGGTGCAACACACTGGGATTTGGGGATTGGGGGTGTGGAATATTCCAGAATTCCTCACTTTTCCATCAATTCCTCCTCATGTTTTCTATGAATTTTCTCTCTTTTCTTTTGTATCCATTAAAAACAGTGATAAAAAGTCAAAAATCCCATTGGTGCAGCCCAGTCGGAATTGGGGGTGTGGAATATTCCAGAATTCTTCACTTTTCCGTCAATTCCTCCTCGTGTTTTCCATGGATTTTCTCTTTCTTTTCTTTTCTATCCATTAAAAATGATGATAAAAAGGTAAAAAATCCCATTGGTGCAGCCCAGTCGGAATTGGGGATTCCAGGTGTGGAAAGCCCTGGAACAATGGAATATTCCGGGTTGGAAATGTGGAATATTCCAGGATTTGGAGCTTTTTGGGGTTCCTGATGGGTTCTCCTTGTGTTTTCCATGGGTTTTTCCTTCCGTTTTTGATTTTCTATCCATTAAAAACGATGATAAAAAGGTAAAAAATCCCATTGGTGCAGCCCAGTCCGAGTTGGGGATTGGGGGTGTGGAATATTCCAGTATTCCTCACTTTTCCATCAATTCCTCTTCGTGTTTTCCATGGATTTTCTCTTTCTTTTCTTTTCTATCCATTAAAAATGGTGATAAAAAGGCAAAAAATCCCATTGGTGCAGCCCAGTCGGAATTGGGGATTCCAGGTGTGGAAAGCCCTGGAACAATGGAATATTCCGGGTTGGAAATGTGGAATATTCCAGGATTTGGAGCTTTTTGGGGTTCCTGATGGGTTCTCCTTGTGTTTTCCATGGGTTTTTCCTTCAGTTTTTGATTTTGTATCCATTAAAAATGGTGATAAAAAGGTAAAAAATCCCATTGGTGCAACACATTGGGATTTGGGGATTGGGGGTGTGGAATATTCCAGAATTCCTCACTTTTCCATCAATTCCTCTTCGTGTTTTCCATGGATTTTCTCTAATTTCTTTTCTTTTCTATCCATTAAAAATGGTGATAAAAAGGTAAAAATCCCATTGGTGCAGCCCAGACCGAATTGGGGAATTGGGGGTGTGGAATATTCCAGAATTCCTCACTTTTCTGTCAATTCCTCCTTGTGTTTTCCATGGATTTTCCCTCCCATTTTTGATTTTCTATCCATTAAAAATGGTGATAAAAAGTCAAAAATCCCATTGGTGCAGCCCAGTCGGAATTGGGGATTGGGGGTGTGGAATATTCCAGAATTCCTCATTTTTCCCTGTCAAATTCTCCTTCTCTTCGTGTTTTCAATGATTTTTTCCTTATTTTCTCTTATTTTGTATCCATTAAAAACAGAGGCAAAAAGGCACCCTGTCAAATTCTCCTTCTCTTCGTGTTTTCAATGATTTTTTCCTTATTTTCTCTTATTTTGTATCCATTAAAAACAGAGGCAAAAAGGCAAAATTGTTGGAATTGGGGATTCCAGGTGCAGGAAACATTGGAAAAATGGAATATTCCAGAATTCCTCACTTTCCCACATCATTTCTTCTTTCTCCTTGTCTTTTCCATATTTTTTTCCTGTTTTGTATCATTAAAAACAGCCAAAAAAGGGCAAAAAATCTCATTTTAAGATCCGGAGGGACACGCTGGGATTTTGGAGCTTTGGAATATTCCAGAATTCCTTTTTCCATGTCAAATTCCTCCTTGGATTTTCCATGATTTTCCCTTTGTTTTTCTCTCTTTTATAATTATTAAAATCAACTACAAAAAGCAAATTGGATTTTTTACCCGAAATTCACGTTTTCCTCCCAAAAATCCTTGTTTTTCCCCCCAAAAAATTCCCCTTTTCCCCCCAAACCAAACAGGGATGGAATTTTTTCCCATTTTCTTTGTTTTTTCCCCCATTCCCTCTCAACATCTGGGGGGGTTCAGGGTTGTCCCCCAATCCCTCCCATCCCAAAATTCCTCCAAGCTTTGGGGTCAATTCCTGGGATTTTTGTATTTTTCAAATTTCAATAGAATGAAATTCCTCCCCCTGCCCACACACCCCCAAAATTCCCCAAAAAAGGGGGAACTTCCCCCAAAAAAGGGGAAACTTCCCCCCAAAAAGGGGACACCCCAAAAAAAGGGTGTAAGGAGCCCCAAACCGCCCAATTTTGGGGAAAAAAAGGGCAAATTTGGGGCAGATTTGGGTAAAAATGTGGAATTTTGGGTGCTGGTGTCACCCTTCAATGATCCCTAAAAATGGGGGAGACCCCAAAAAATTGGGGGGGAGCCCAAAATTTCGATTGGCTGTTTCAATTTGGGGATAAAAATGCTGATTTAGTGCAAATTTTGGGGCAGATTCAGAGCAGATTTGGGACTCCCCAAAGCAAAAGAGGGGGGGACACGTTGGGTTGTTTCATTTTGGGGACAAAAAGGTCGATTTGGAGCAGATTTGGGACCCCTAAAAAGGAGTGGGAACCCCAAAAGGAGAGCAGGGGGAGTCACATTGTGGTGTTTCATTTTGGGGACAAAAGGGCGGATTTGGGGCTGTCATTTTGGGGACAAAAGGGCGGATTTGGGGCTGAATTGATGAAGATTTGCGGCAAATTTGGGGCTGAATTAATGCGGATTTGGGGCAGATTTGGAGCTGAATTTATGAAGATTTGGGACAAATTTGGGGCTGGATTGATGAAGATTTGGGGCAGATTTGGGGCTGAATTAATGCAGATTTCGAGCTAATTTGATGCAGATTTGGGGCAGAATTGATGAAGATTTGGGGCTGAATTGATGAAGATTTGGGGCTGAATTGGGGCTGAATTGATGCAGATTTGAGGCAGATTTGGGGCTGAATTAATGCAGATTTTGCGCTAATTTGGTGCAGATTTGGGGCAAATTTGGGGCTGAATTGATGCAGATTTGGGACACATTTGGGGCTGAATTGGGGCTGAATTAATGCAGATTTTGCGCTGATTTGATGCAGATTTGGGGCAAATTTGGGGCTGAATTGATGAAGATTTGGGGCAGATCTGGGGCAGATTTGGGGCTGAATTGATGAAGATTTGGGGCAAATTTGGGGCTGAATTAATGAAGATTTGGGGCAGATTTGGGGCTGAATTGATGAAGATTTGGGGTAAATTCAGAGTTGAGTTGATGCAGATTTGGGGCAGATTTGGGGCTCAATTGATGAAGATTTAGGGCAGATTTGGGGCAGATTTGGGGCTGAATTAATGTGGATTTGGGGCAGATTTGGGGCTGAATTGATGAAGATTTGGGGCAGATTTGGGGCTGAATTAATGCAGATTTGGAGCTGAATTAATGAAGATTTGGAGCTGAACGGATGCAGATTTGGGGTAGATTTGGAGCTGAATTAATGCAGATTTGGAGCTGAATTGATGCAGATTTGGAGCTGATTTGGGGCTGAATTAATGCAGATTTGGAGCAGATTTGGGGCTGAATTGGAGCTGAATTGATGCAGATTTGGGGCAGATTTGGGGCTGAATTGATGAAGATTTGGGGCAGATTTGGGGCTGAATTAATGCAGATTTGGAGCTGAATTAATGCAGATTTCGAGCCAATTTGATGAAGATTTGGGGCAGATTTGGAGCTGAATTGATGAAGATTTGGGGCAGATTTGGGGCAGATTTGGGGCTGAATTGATGAAGATTTGGGGCAGATTTGGGGCTGAATTGATGAAGACTTGGGGTAAATTCAGAGTTGAGTTGATGCAGATTTGGGGCAGATTTGGGAATGAATTGATGAAGATTTGGGGCAAATTTGGGGCTGAATTGATGAAGATTTGGGGCAGATTTGGGGCAAATTTGGGGCTGAATTAATGTGGATTTGGGGCAGATTTGGAGCTGAATTGATGAAGATTTGGGGCAGATTTCGGGCAGATTTGGAGTTGAATTGATGAAGATTTGAGGCAGATTTGGGGCTGAATTAATGCAGATTTCGAGCTAATTTGATGCAGATTTGGGGCAGAATTGATGAAGATTTGGGGCTGATTTGATGCAGAATTGGGGCAGATTTGGGGCTCAAGTGATGAAGATTTGGGCAGATTTGGGGCTGAATTAATGCAGATTTGGGGCAGATTTGGGGCTGAATTGATGCAGATTTGGGGATCAAATAATGAAGATTTGGGCAGATTTCGGGCTGAATTGATGAAGATTTGGGGCTCAATTAATGCAGATTTGGGGCTGATTTGGGGCAGATTTGGAGCTGAATTGATGCAGATTTGGAGCTGATTTGGGGCTGAATTGATGCAGATTTGGAGCAGATTTGGGGCTGAATTGGAGCTGAATTGATGCAGATTTGGGGTAGATTTGGAGCTGAATTAATACAGATTTGGAGCTGAATTGATGCAGATTTGGGGCAGATTTGGGGCAGATTTGGAGCTGAATTGATGCAGATTTGGAGCTGAACGGATGCAGATTTGGGGTAGATTTGGAGCTGAATTAATGCAGATTTGGAGCTGATTTGGGGCTGAATTGGAGCTGAATTAATGCACATTTGGGGCAGATTTGGAGCTGAATTAATGCACATTTGAACCCCCAAAAAAGAACCCCATCACACTCTGGGGACAGAAAAGCAAATCCGGTGGGAATTCCGAGCGGATCGAGCCCAAACCCGCTGCGGGTCCCTGTCACGTCCCCGTCACCTCCCCGGTGTCCCCGTCACCTCCCCGGTGTCCCCAGGGCCCCGTAGATGTCCCCGCGGCGGTGGCCGTGCACCGGCAGCTCCCGCCGCACCTGCTCCAGGTAGGTCAGGTCGAGCTGGGCCAGGCACAGCCCCGGCCCCTCCTGGCACTGGGCCACCACCGTGCCCCAGGGATCGGCCACCAGGGAGTGACCGAAGGACGCCCGGCTCGGGTTGTGCCGCCCGGTCTGGGCTGCGGCCACCACGTAGCACTGGCACTCGATGGCACGGGCACGGAGCAGCACCTGAGGGGACAGGGGTGACACTGAGGGGACACAGGGGGCACCCAGCAGCACCTGTGAGGACAGCAGTGACACTGGGAAGGGACACTGGTGTCACCCAGGGGACAGAAAGGGAACACAGGGGGCACCCAAGTCAGGGGACATGGGGTAGAAAAGGGGACACTGAGGTCACCAAGGGGACAAAAAAGGGGGATGCAGGGACACTTGATGGCCTGGGCATGGATGGACAAGCACCTGAGGGGACATGGGGGGGCACCTGGGATGTCCCC